TGATTATAAGTAGACAATTATACATATATAGGGACTATGGCTCTACCATTGTCGGAAAAAAAAAAACCCTGTTTCTTTCACCTCAGAAAATTGTAATCCCCTAATAACATATTTTTGAATTTTTACATATTGAAAGATAGAAAAATTAACATCTGTCGAAAAGCCCATTTATTTCTTAACAACCATTGTTTCCAGTTATAAAACTAAAAGCCTCCACTACGAAGGCTCAGCCCATATTTCAACGTATAAGAATAAACCTGTGGCCCTAAACTTCGTGTATTTTTTTTTGCCGTCAACACACAAAAACGTTTTTGTCTCGTTCACATTCCATCAATGTCTACGAAGAAGAAGAAGCCATCGCCGACGTCAAAATCTATAACAAATCCGTCACTTCCTTATGATTTGCTATTGAGCTGCATTGCACGTGTCTCAAGATTGTACTATCCAACTCTCTCCCTTGTCTCCAAGAGCTTTCGATCGCTCCTAGGCCGCACCGAGACTTGTATCTATGTGCCTTTAATTTACAGTTCTATCCATCTAAGAACCCTAGCTGGTTCAGGCTCTGTCGGAAACCTGATCAAACCCTAACCAATGACTCTAGTAAGAAAAATATGTTAAGAGGGTATGTTTTGGTTTTAGTTCCAATCCTGAATTATCATCCTGCGTCTTCTATGAGTCTGGTGGCCGTTGGTTCAAATATTTACGACATTGGCGACTCCAACCCAATGAACTCCTCTAGTGTCTGGATTATGGATTGTTGGTCTCACACGTGGCGGCAGGGTCCAAGCTTGCGGGTGAAGCTACAGTCATATACTGCTAGCGTACTTGATCAAAAGATATATTTAGCAGGATGCTACAACGATGGTGATTCTAAATACTTAAAGCATTCTTGTGAGGTGTTTGACACATTGACACAAACTTGGGATCCTCAGCCCATCCCTTGCAGCGAAATAAATTTGGGGGAAAGTTGAGTGGTTGGATCATGTTCTTACAGTCCCGAGAATATATCATTTCGGGAAGGTTCTTGCTGCTACCGTTTGATGAAATGAGTCAAAAGGCTTGAACATGATGTTTTTTTGGTGTATGCAACTATGATGAATGACCTATCTTTTGTTTCACTTATTGAAAAGACTTAGCTCTCTTAATTACATTATTGATGAAAACAACATGGTGTACACATTATGAAGGGGAATTGCATGTGTTGTAAAACTTCTCAAAAGATATTGGAGAGAGCTGGTTTGCTCCAGCGGCAATGATTAACTTCTTTGTTGATCAATTCCGTTAAAAAGCAATCCTTATGCGGTCAGTGCTGTTGGTTGATCGATGCAGATGATGGGGATTTAGTTATCACTCTATAAATCTTAATATTTGTTTTTAGTTTTATAAAGTTATGTGTGGGTTAAATATAACTCTATATTTTATAGCGTCTTAGATCATCTCTAATGAAACGATCTTAGAAAGTATCTTAACCTAAGATTTGCAAAAGAAAAATGTATTTTTTGCTATAAAGAGGATTTTATATAGACGCTAACAAAAATGAGCTCATAAATATGAAAATCTACACACACATAAGGAACAACCAGTATGTAAATCAAATTATTTGGTAAATAAATAGTATTTTTGTTGACAAATTAATAATGTATTAGAAAGTGACGTTTGTCCCACACATGCATGAACAAAGGAGGACTTTTACCGCAAATCTAATCGGTGAATGTGTTTTTTTTTTTTGTGTTCAAACGGTGAATATGTAGTTTGTCCAGTGCTCACATAATAAATGCATGCTATTGTATGGGCTCTGGAGTACTCTTGTAGTCTTGTGATATGTTAATTTGACATTATATTCTTGAAAAGTAGTTTTCGTGGCCAATGTTACGACAATTTCTATAACTTTTACTATACGGTTTACATTAACTTCGTTAATTAAATTTTATTTGATTGATAGCTCAAAACATGTAATTTACTTGTTTGAAATAATGTGGTCAATATATCATCACAAATGTTCAAACTCATATAATACATATATACATGTTAATATGTTATTGTTGACTGATCATATCAGAAATTTCTACCTAACCCATAATTATTAACATGGTGGAGGGCTATATATGTGTTATAACATGATAGGCATGTTATAAGATTCACATAGAAAGGGATTCATCATCATTAGCTCCTGAGATGACAAACTTTGAGCTCATTTTCCTTCACTTTTACTTTGACAATGACCTTTGTGGGCTTTCAAAATTTCCTACAGTTAAAACTAAAGTATCATCTAAGCAAATTCAAATGAGGAAAAAAAATTTAATGAGGCAAAAAACAGAGAGGACATAGGACTATGTAATGTGCACATATTTCTCTACAGTCAGCTATATTTTCTCTTCAGGATCGAGTTTAACTCTTTCAAATAATATTCCTTTAAGCATACGTGCATAAGAATTATAGTTATTGGAATATAATTTAGTCTCTAGTATATATGTTTTAAAACGAAAAAAACATATGTAGCTAGGTGCCTTAAGCGGTTCAATAAAAAACGAGGAACTATAAATTACAATAATAGAGTAACATAAATTATAGAAAATAAAAGTAGGTTTTAATGATAACTTTTGGTAACTGAAAGTCCAATATTGTATATACCTGACTCTTACAATTTTATCATTCTTATATCCACAAATGCATATATGATTGTATTTGTGAAACTCATCCCTTAGGGGACTTTCTTTCTCAATTTATAGTGATGCAAACTGATGATACAATAAAAACATTGTGGTCTAAGCTAAAGCTACTTTGCAACTTTTGCCCATCACAAAAAAAAAAAAACATAAAAAAATCGAATATATGCTTTCCTTATTCCTTAAAATTATCAAACAGAAAACCAAATGTATGATTAGTTGATCACCATTTTATTAAAGCTATGTTAATCATATATAAACTAAATAGGTGGGACGAGATATTTTCCATACAAAAATCTTTCTCCATCTTTTAGTCCAAGTGACATTTGAAGTACAAATGTTATAACACAAATAAAGTTTATGTCAAGTTGTCAACTATATGCTAAATCTATGAAAGAAGAATGAAAAAAATACCAAATCTTCAAGAAAATACTAAAGTTATTTCAACATATTCAAAAAGCTTCAAAAATGTTAATTAGCAAATTATTTCTGTAACATATATAGTTTTGTATGATGAAATGAAACGTGGACATCTATGGGGATGAGAAGTGGTCAAAGGAAAAGCAATGAGAGAGGGGTAGGTATTAATAAAATAGAAGTCTATAAATTTCGTAGGCTCAGTTTGTGTCTGTCTCTTCTAAGTCCTAGCCCTAACTCCCTACCTATATTTTCTCTCCACCAATCACATCTCCTTCTTCTTTTTCTTCCATACATGAAGCATCAAGAAAACTATAGTCTATAGGTTCGATTTAGAATTTTTGTATACAGAAATCTTAAGAAACAAATTAATAAATGTCGACAAAAAAAAAGAAACAAATTAATAAATATGCATGTCGACTGGTGATTCAGCCGATCACGCATCATCGATATTATGAATAATTGAGCGTGAATTACAATTAAATTATATGTCGTTTAATTTTCTAATTGAAATCTTTTTTCTAACATCGAAACTGGAATCTAAGTCCTAACAAAAATTATATTCAAGAATCAAGTCACTTGCATTGTTACCTCCCAAAGTAACTCATATGCATATTCATCATTAACCAAATTAAATGAAGTACTCAAAAGAACATCGATCTCGATCTCTTTAAGGTATGCAAATTGGTTTATACCAAATTATTGTAACACATAACCTAAAAGATGAAATATAATTAGTTCGATCGTGGACCAGTTCTACAATTTTGTTTTTCTTCCTTCGAAATCCCAGTATGAGATGAAGTTTTTATAATTCTTCTACTAAACACTGTATGTCTCCAAATATCTAAGAAACGAATAAAAAAAAATATATATATTCCATCTTTATATAAGATGAAGATGCCAAAATTATGAAGATGCCAATATTATCTTCCAATAAAGCAGAAGCAAGAAAATGAAGAAGATGGGGTTGCTATCAAACAACAAAGCAACGCCCACGTGAAGGGATAAACAAATAGGCCTTAGACTTGGTCCCTTTCGTTTTCTCTTCCCACTTTTCTTCTCTTAGCTATATATCACCACTTTTTTCATTACCCTTAATCACTATCACTCCCACACCTTCAGCTTAACCTTATCCCACACCACACCACACTTATACTAAGCCCTTTCTTTTTCATTCGTTCAATAAATTAAAGCACTTTTTTATTACATAATGCATCATCAACTACCCTGTATAGTACATATGTGGCAGTTAAGAAGAACACAGAATTGCTCATATGATGAGCCTTCTAGCTAGACTAACTTGAAATTTCAATAGTACTATAATTAGTTTACTTAGCTTTGATGAAAGATTGGCCTATTCTCCGGTCTTAAGTATACATCCTAACTTTTGATTATGTAATGAAGTAGTAATTAGAACAAAGTCGATTAGGCCTCCCAAACTAAACTTCTAATCTTTTCCCTGAGCTGCGTCAAATGTGTATATATATATATCAATAATTATATCATAAACCCTATTACATATATACCAAAATTACTTAAAGATGATAAAATAGAAATTGATTCAATTTGAATACTTTAATTAGTAATAGTGAACATTGTAAGTTTATCCCTCCTTTTGTTGTGGACAACCTTTTGAAGCAGAAGGTAGGGTAACCTCAACCAGAGGAACTAATCCATATTAGTAACGACCAAACCATTCCATATTAAATACCATCTCTCCATAATTCTATATAAATAGTATTGGAAATATATTTACGGAGGTGATAGAGACTTATACAATGTATTATTACATGTATGATATATACTGTATATATGTATATATATTGCTTTATATTTTCTATAATATATTTTTTCCATCTTCCTCTAGCTATCAACCTTTATAGCACACACACCAAATGGCTTAAGCGAAGATAGGAAAAAGAAGATTCTGTTTTCTTACCTGTTTCTCTCTTCAATCTAATGTTTCCTTCTCTAGACACCAATGGCTATGTCCTCTTTGATACCTTCAGTCCTCGTCAAACAACCATACTTCCTCCTTTCACTACCCACATTCAAAGCCCTAGTTCCAACCATCACTTCCCTTCTCCTTCTTTTTCTTTTTCTCCAGATTTTCTTGAAAATGCTGATGAATCTTTCTTGTTAAGCCAATTCTTGTTTCAGGAGCAAGACGCAGCAGCAAATGTTGTTGAATCTCCAAGAAAAGTTTGCAAGAAGCTTGAGAAAAAGAAGCATAATGACAAGTGCGTTGAGGAGGACACTACCTCATCAGAAAAGGTTTCAGAGAGAAGAATGGCTAAGAAAAGGGACAGGCATAGTAAGATCTGCACGGCTCAAGGTCCTAGAGACCGGAGGATGAGGCTGTCTCTTCAGATTGCTCGCAGGTTTTTCGATCTTCAAGACATGTTGGGTTTCGACAAAGCCAGCAAGACGATCGAATGGCTTTTCTCCAAATCAAAGGCTTCAATCAAACAACTTAAAGAAAGTGTTGCTGCATCGGAAGGAGGTGAAGATGATGAACATTCCCAGGCTAATGAAAAGGCAAAGGATGAGATTCTTAAAGTGAAAGTTTCAAAGAGAAGGACAAAGACGATGGAGAGCTCTTGTAAGATGAAGGAGTTGAGAGAGAGAGCTAGAAAACGAGCCAGAGAGAGAACCATAACAAAGATGAAGATGAGATTATCAGGACTAGTTGACACCTCGGAAACAATTTCAGATCCTCAACAAGCAACAAGAGAGATCAAGATAAGCAATGGTGCACAAGTACTAGATGGGAAAAATCAAGAGCAAGAATGGAGTACTAATGTGAACATGGTAGAGTATCAAATGGATTCTGTGAGCATCATAGAGAAGTTTCTTGGACTAACCAGTGAATCTAGCTCCTCTTCCATCTTTGGAGACTCCGAGGAATCTAACACAAATCTTAGCTCAATAAGAGGTACGACTTCATTGTATAGCAGGTAACAACAATGTGTTAATTTAAAACCCTAGCTAATTAATGCAGTCTTTATTAATGTTTGCTAATTCCAGGAGTTGTGGCACCAAGTGAACACAACACAGCTTCAATAGCATCAGTAGATGAGGAGACGAACCCTATTTCATCTTTTTCTCTATATGATTATCTCTGCTACTGATGATCATGAGGCTTCATCCTTCTGAGGTATTTGAAGTTTATGTTCTATGCATTAACATAAAAGCCTCACTGAGACAAATCTATCACATATATATATAAATGTAGTCATTTGTGTGTATGAACTAGATCTAGATAGTTTGGTGTGCCTAATTTGTTTGAGGCTTTGGATACTGCTTGATTGATATGGATATCTATAAGTTCTATTTTTTTTTCCGGTTTTAATTAATTTCTAGCAAGTTTCCAATTGTCTAGCATTAATTTCTGTTGTTGGTTGTTTTATGTAGTTAGTTCTAATAATTGCTTTTACATACATATGTTAGTGTTGATAAATTTCAAAGACATATATAAGCACACAAAACAAACTTTTATAAAGATTGTAATGGCACAATCGTTAGTCAGACATAAGTCACATAATTATGTCTGAGCCTTAACTATAGGCTAGTGTTCTTAAACTACTTAAGTGGTAGAGATTATACATCTGCGTGATTTCTTCATAAACGTTATGGCTGGCCAGCAAGTTGGACTAGGAAACTTAAACGAATAATCGTTTAATTCGGGTCAGAATTGAAGTAAGTTAATTGTTCGTGACAGACTGGATTCGGATTAATCCTTCTTTGATAAACTATTTCAGTATACATATAGAAAAAACATTGGTTTAGGACTGAACACTCCAACTTCCATTATGTCGATTTTTCTGCCAAACTCTCAATCATTGTCTTTCTTGTACTTTCTTGACTTGGGTCCAGACATACGTCCAGTGAAGGTTATTTCTTCGAAAATAAAACACTTTCAAACGAAATTCAAAAACCAAACACTATCGACGTATCTTAGCAGTGTAATGTAAGCATCCATCAGCTTTGTTTCTATATGGGAAGACCAATCTATATATTCCTTTTTTTGCTAAGGAAGCAATGTATAAACTTTAAGATATAAAAAATTAACGAGATTCCTTGATTTCTCCCTGATTGCATGGCAAAAAAACTCCACGCATCTACTGATTTGCCAAAGCATATGTCAAACCAAACCAAAATAACAAAGGATCATCGTCTAAAATGACAATGGATTGATGTGTAAACAAAAAAAAGAGGAACAATGGATCATCCGTTACTCGCAAAGTTACATGCCTACTAACTAAACCAAATGAAATACAATATGGGTCCGTAGCCCGTAGGCCCAACAAATCATGAACATTTACCGACTTGAAGAGGATGGATAGATATTTTTACAGTAGTAAATAAAAAAGTCATAGCCGGAAATTGAACCAAACCAAACTAACACTAAACCGATTTTAGTGAAAAAGACTAATTTAAACCGTATACTGTAACTCTTATTTTGGAAAAAGCGTATATCTAAAGTAATACCAAAAGTAGATCTAAGCATACTGTAAATCTATAACATTTTAATTAAAATCATTCTTTTAGTTAATTAAATCTTTATATATTTCTATTGCAAACTTCCTTTCTACTAATTAATACCAAACCAGACCAAGTTGCTTCTAACCGAGTATATACCAAATCAAATGTGTATTTCTATATGATTTGGATTTTTTTTATCAAAACTTACAAAACCATAACCTAGAAAACAGAACATCCCTAAATAAATCACACCATAAAGCATTTTTAATAACGACCCCTAACTATTGCCATGTAATGTGTACTGTGAGAAACTGATTCATATATAAGAAATTAAGAATTTAAGATACCACGAGAAATAATATTGGAGTAAGTAACCTTGGTCATTCTTCGGTTTAGGTCCTCTCTTAACCTTGTTTTGTTTTTCTTTTCTTGTGCAATTACTCTTGTTCTAATAATATTTTGCGTATGTCAAAACTTTTGAAGCCAATATATTGTAACATTTAACAACTGAAGAAAATATGACATGTGTTGACTGTAAAAATTTGTACACATATATTGAAAAATTGTCCATAGATCTTCTTTGTTTAGTCTTTACTAGCATAAAAGAAGAAACATATGTTTTGAGGTTATTTACTTATATTTCAAGTTCAACTTTAGAATTTTATATATTCGAGGAGAGAAACAGAAGAGACTTTTCTCAGATCTAGCTACGAATAACAGGAGGATACTAACCTGTAAAGTAATGTAATCTCTGGGACTTCTTGCTTACACTTTCTCTCAGGAGCACCTAATCTTGATCATGGGTGTATCTATATAACCTCTGAAACCATATGTTTTGTAGAGGAAGCTGAGTAGGAAATCTACTAAGACCTGACAAGAATGAAGCAGAGGAAGAAACACAAATGTACGTTAAAGGAGCTAGTAAACCTCACTCTCAACTTTATTAAGCCTTTAAAAATATGGTGCAGAATAGAGGAAATAAAGAAGGATATAAAAAAAAGTAGGAGGCTACATTGTGTAATAGTGTCCTAAGAATTTACCATGCCTGTTTTTTTTTTTTGGTGCATCTGCCATGTCTGTTCAAAAAGAGAAAGAAAGAACATATATAGTAGAGTCGATCGGTTTTGCAGACCCCAAGCATGGGTTTTTCGAGCTATGTCCAATCAGATTTTGGATAATTCTTTGGACTTGTATTTTTTATTTGCTTAAAAAACTCATATAAATAAGATTATTACCACAAATGGAACCTACAACTAGAACTATTTTTAACAATCAACTCCTTGCTCAAAATTAAAGACTTATAAATCTCTTATATGAACTATTACTACAAATGGATTTTTCAATGGGTTTAAACTTCAAACTAGTGTTTTTTACCTTTTTACTCTTTCTTTACAGTAAACTTGGGAGATTGGGACCAGACTAGATTTTTCTTTTAGACACAGAATTGAAGTCTCAGTTAAAAGATATTTCGTTTCAAAATTTTATATACATATACATGATTTGTCAGAATTAGTCGGATATTTCCGAAATGATCAATATGTGCGAAGAAAAAAGTGACTTTTATATCAAATATTTCTGGATACAATTAATGATAATTTACATTATCATGACGGGCACACTATTGAAAATTTGAGGAACAAAATTTAGTTTTATTTGCATTTTTTATTTTGATAGGCAATAAACTAAAGAGATGTAGAGAACAAAACGTAAAGCTACTGTTATTGATTTATTTTTTTGGGAAAGAAAATAAAATAAGAATGAGATATGGATGTCGAGAGATAGATCTTTTGGCAAAATGTAGCTGCTTCTAGATTACATAGACTTGCACTGCAGGCTCGTACGGAGCCTTGTCTAATTTTATTGCCTTTAACTCTTACAAGTTACACAACACAAACATATTGAAGCAATATGATGACCTCAACACGTAAAAAAAAAAGAAAAGAAAAAAAAAAGAAGACAATTCATTGATTCCATATCACCTGCTTGTGTATCTGACGTACAGTTTCATAATAATATCCACCATGTTAAATCCTTAACAATTTGTTCTTAATGCATATTTAATACCTATATTGACATTTTTCTTTTCTTATTTTAGGATTAGTGCCTTGTTAACCGATCTGTTTAGGTTTTGTTTTGAGCAAAGAAAGGTAAACTAATGTGAGTTCGACCACAGTCACCGCCACTCTACCAATCCCACCATCTCGGTCTTATTGTCTACTTAAGAACCGCTACCATTTGTCTGTCAAACACTCTCAAACTTACTATTACCCAACCGGAAAAATTGGTAACAAACTCATGATGAAAATTTCCATCTTAAATACACACTTAACATCATAGTTTTATTAATTTTTCTATGACAAAACTTAAAAGTTCTGTGGAAAAACTATACGTTTAATTTGTTTTTACTGTCGTGTTATCTGTCTTCAAGTTTGATGTATTTCAATTTTGGACTCTTTTAGCATTATCTTTTTTACTTTGATACATTGTGTTTTATATACCTTGAAGTAATTAAGGAAATGAATGTGAACGATCATGAATAAATATGTAAATAACATCCTACAATCTTAACTCGTTTGAGTCTGTTTTCATAAAAATTGTTGACAAAAAAAAATGAGAGATCATGAGTAAACATCTAAAAGTTTTATCGAAAAGAAGACTTCATATTCACCATTAGATATCGCTATATCTTTTCCACAACATCGAAAATGGAATAAACTTTTGTTTAGCGGTGGTTTAAAGTCAATTAGACTATTGGGAGATACACTGGTTTGTTATGTGTTATGTGTTCATCAGTTTTACAATTGTACACATTTAGTATATTAGTAACATGTATAATCATACTTTAGCATTTGAATTCCTAGCAATGTTTTGATCGCAATGTGAAGTTTAGATATTTCTTCTTTCTTTTACTTCACAATATATTAAAGAAATATTATAAACATATATATTTAATACAAATTCATATCTTTAATAAAAAAAAATACATATTTCTGTAGACAGCTAATTGAGTTGAACATTTTTCATGTGAAAGTTCATGGCATTTGACTTCAATAACATAGATATTAAATATTGTTTGCATTTGTTTTTTTAAGGAATAATGACAGTACTGAACTATTGAATACAAGAAAATAATTTGATGTTCTTTTTACCAGTACTGCAATCATATTAGGAGCACTCAACATTAGTGCAAGAGAAGATGTAAACAGTTAAAAAGGCTGGCTTGGAATTGCACAATACCCACCAGTTCTAACATCCACTCACGAGACCTCTTTCTTGCATTGGAAGAAGACCTTTAATCAAATTTTACAATCTCATCATATTTTTTTCTTCACTATGAGAGATTCACAATCCACGTTATAAAAAAAATCAAATTCCTTTCTTATGTCGAAAAGAAAAACAAAATGATATACAAAAGGTAAAGTCTATTTAAAAACATGAATGTGCAGCAACAGACACTTTAAATGATATGTATTATCTGATTTTTCACATGTTTTTTTAATCAAAACATTCTGAAGTATTTTTGTTAGAGATTATGAATATTTTTGTCATTATATTCCAAATCTCGTCCCATAACCAAATATTTATTTTCCAATAACCAAAATCCATGTGTATTACGGGGTAACTACCGAGTTTGTACATCATTTCTAAAAGATACGTACGTTGTATAATCCTTCTTTTTAATGTATATCTTTTTGTAAGATTTGTAATTGCCATCGATTTCATATAAGAAAATTAACAAATAATTTATGAAAACTTTATATGATATATAACGTTAACGTGCGACAAGACAAAATAGACAAAATTGTCAAACACATTGAATAAATGAAAGTCAACCGTTAATGGAAGGGAAAAAAAAAAACGTTATTATCAGAAAAATATCAAAGAAAAGTTTAAATGTGGAACGTGGTATCATTAAAAGTCCACGACGCAATATCTAATATATTTTTCATAGCACATGTAAAGGCAAAAATGTTCGATAACTCTATAATCATACTCTGTTCACACGTCTGACTATAATTAGACCTACAAATACGATATGAATTATTGCAATCCTCTGCTGCAAATACAATACCACCATCGATTACAAAACTTTGTAATGAAAAGATTTCATTATTCAGAAGATTTTTTTCATAATTGCTAAGTTGAAATCATGCCTCTTTTTTTTTTCATTCCTTGAATTCTAAGAAACCTCGATGCATTAGTTTTACTTCCTTTAATAATCCATAATTATGGTTTTGCTTTTCAAAATAAATTGATAATAATTAATAATAATTGATATCTATAGATTTTGTTTATGTAGGTATTAATATCATCAAGATTATATTCCTTCTGATGATCTAGTCATCTAGCTCTTTCATTATTAATGTTTATTAATATATATTTTTGGTTTACATCTTTAAAGAATGTGTTTATTTTTGATGAATGTTAATATAATATTTTAAAGAGACATACTAAATTGCAAAAAAACAAAAAAAAATTGCCAACAAATATATTTTAAAAGGCCAAAAAATAATGTCAAACCTATTGAAATTAGAAAAAAAAGAAGACATAATAATAGAGTTACCAACGTTTTCCGATTCTCTAAGTAAAATAAACATAGATTATGAAACTAATAAATCTTATACTAAAATTTGATAACTTAGTGATATCGTAAAACTTCTCTATCATTTCCAATTTTGATTTAGATTCGAACTCGTTCTTGTGAGTGTTAAAAAGCGGTCATGTGACCATTAACCTAGAAGACAGAAACAGAAGAAGACTACCGCCAAAGTTAAGAAAGGCCAGCCACCACTAGATAAAACCCGAACATACTTTTGCTCAAAACTTGTTTACACACAAAAATTTAACGAAAACTTTTTAAAAGAAAATAGAGCACAAACACATATGTCATATGATAAAAGCATCCAACGTTGAAAAGACAAAATCCCACTGCCTCTCACATCTCTTAAGCTTTACATTTTGTCAACCATATATAATAAAAGTGTATATATATATATATATAAATATAGCTGAGCTCTTATTACCATATACTATCTTCCAAACCGTCCTACAAAGCTTTTTCATTAGTTTACTTCTTTCCAAAATCATACATAAACACAAAAAGACAATATCTTATTTTTTTTGGCCTATTCTTTCTCATTGATTAACACACCCATATGCTTAAACTCCCTTCATTATCTTCCATGGCTTTGAAGTTCTCTCAGATTCTCTTCGTAGTTCTATGGCTCTCTCTCTTCTTCCTCCTTCTCCACCACTTGTACTCCCTCAACTCCCGCCGCCTTTATCTAAACGCTTCGACGGAGGAGCCCTCTTCAATGTCGAAGCAACAGCATCAACGTTCCCACACCATTAGATTAGTCGTCAGCAGAAAAGCTCTCTCCCAAAGATACGACTTCACGCCTTTCATCAATCGCCGCCATGATCATCACCATCGTTCCGAAGAGCAATACGACGGTGATGAGATCGACCCTCGTTACGGGGTGGAGAAACGCCGTGTTCCCTCCGGACCGAACCCGTTGCACCATTGATGATGACACGTGTTTCATTTGTGTGGTAACATACCTTTGTCTAGCTTTTTTTTTTCTTTTTTGGTCTCTTTAATATATTTCAGTAAGGGAAAACAATTAAAGAATAGAGAATATAGATTTCTACAATTTGGGTGTTAATACATTTTATTATATTTTTCTTATAATTTTGACGATTGTATTGGTGAATATGTTGATTTACTAAAGAGTAAAGATATTGACAATCTTGATTAATTATTATTGAAATTTTGGTTTGTATTGTTACTGAATAGAGTAATGACTGTTATGTACATTGATTACTAGAATTAGTATTTTTTAAAATCAAATAGAACAAATCGGTCGTTGATTACAATGATGGATGGTTAAATAATTGCTTTGACTTTGGGATTAGCCAACCAGTAGCTGCAACGGCACGTCACACACAACTCAGAGATATTCTAGAATGCATTATTATTGTACCAAAAATAAATAGCAATATGGTGTAATATAAACAAATGAAGAAGACTAATTTTATATACAAAACAAGTTATAATGTCCTTTTTAATAGAGAAAATCAGATAAACTCACCCAAATAATATATATATATATATATATATATATATAAAAGGATATGTAATTTTGTAAAGAGAAAAAGATTAAAAACGTTAAAGACATTATTTGGTAAGTCTAAAAATGTCTTGAGGCCTGTCTTTTCGATAGAAATAAGGAAATTGTCATTTTGCAAAAGCTTCACTGTCTCTCAATCTAAGGATTTGCCGACTTTTTCCTATTTTGATTTCTACACCAACTAAATTTTATTTATGATATTGACATTACATAAATGCAAAAAGGGACCAAACAATCCAGAGTAAACGAGAAAGTTACTGAATACATTTTTTTTTTTTTGTAAACGAGAAAGTTACTGAATCTATAATTTTCTGTAAACTATAAAAAACGATAAGGTATATTTATACAAGCAAAGGTAAGAGGAATTTGGGGTAAGTTTTATAAAGTTGTTATCTGATAAATAAGAAAAGTCACCATTGCACAGTACTACTAAGACAATATATAGTAGAGTAGTGGTTGTGTGTTCATCATTTCAATGGACCCCTATCAGATAGTAGGTTTGTGTGAGTGTGACATTGAAAATATATATTTTTACAATGTTTTGTTGAAAAGCCAAATCGAATAATAAAAAAAAAAGCAGAAACAACTAACTGATCATTGTCCAACAAAATCATCAACTTCCAAAAATTATTTACAATTTTAAACTTTTTACAAAATTACATGGCCAAAACCCAAAAACCATAATGCTTGTGTTTCCATAACCTAACGTTACAGAAAATACCATCAAAAACTATAGAGTTGTTTTCGAAAAACATACAAAACTTTAGCCTCGGTAGAGAAAAATTGGGCCAGTTGATTAAGAAATTATCCTAAGTGGATAATGAAATATTAAAGCCCACATAGGCCCAATAAATATTTACACGAGCTAACGTTTGTTTCACATAGTTTGCAACTTGCAAGTGGAAGCACCGAAGAGACTTTGGGGTTGAAAAGTGACGATTTAGTACAGAGTGTGAAGTTTCAGAGCGGAGGAGAGAAGTCTCTTCTTGTAACTGTTTTACTAACTGCTTTCACGACGGAGTGTTGTCAGAAAGATTTCAAATTTGAACAATTTGCTTCTTCAATTTCTAGAAAGGTGTGAAATTGGGGCTCTGTCATCTTCCCCTCTTCAATTGATGCATCTGGGTCTTTAGGGTTTGAAAGGAAATGTTCACTCCACAAAGGAATCGGTGGCCGGAGACTGACCGGAAAGGAAAGGCGATAGCTTTTTCCGACGAAATCATGACGCCGTCTCCGCCAAGGGGGCTCCTAAGAGAGGATGATGACTGGCGAAAGTTCAAAGAGGTTGGTTTGCTTGATGAAGCTTCACTGGAGAGAAAAGATCGTGATGCGCTTATAGAGAAGATCTTAAAGCTTGAAAAAGAGGTACATAAAGTTTGGATTTTTTTTTTTTTTTTTTTTTTTTTTTGCTGTATGGAGTGTTCTATATTGGGTTTGGAACTTTGAATTGAGAAAGTATTGTTTTTTTTTTTGTCAGCTGTTTGATTACCAACATAATATGGGGCTTTTGCTAATTGAGAAAAAGAAGTGGACTTCGACAAATGAAGAACTTCAACAAGCATTTGATGAAGTTACGGAGATTCTCAAACGTGAAAGGACGTCACATTTGATTGCTTTAAACGAAGCTGACAAAAGAGAAGAGAATCTTAGGAAGTCTTTGAACGCCGAGAAGCAATTTGTTGCTGAGGTATCTTATTTCTCAATTCAGGCTGTTCTGTTGTGGGTTTTGTTTGTGTTTGATGCTTATTAGACGTTTCTGCTGTTTGTGTATTTTAGCTTGAGAAGGATTTGAAATATTGGCAACAAGAACATTCTGAGGTGAAGTCTACTTCTGAGGCAAAGTTAGCTGAAGCAGATGCTTTGGTTATGGGTATGAAGGAAAAAACTTTAGAGGTGGATAGAGAGAGGGCTATTGCTGAAGAAAAGCTTTCAGTGATTAATAGAAAAAGTTCTGAGTTAGAAAGGAAACTTAAGGAGGTAGAGACTCGTGAAAAGGTGCACCAAAGGGAGCATCTTTCTCTAGTTACAGAGTATGAAAAAAAATCACTTTTTATTACTCATCAGTTTTGTTTCTTGTTTGTTGGTATGGAGATTTGACCTCACATTGTTCTCTTTTGCTTATGTTTCTTAGACGAGAAGCTCATGAGGCAGTGTTTTACAAGCAAAGAGAAGACCTACAGGATTGGGAGAAGAAGTTAACACTAGAAGAAAATAGGTTGTCTGAAGCTAAAAGAAGCCTTAACCATAGAGAAGAAAGAATTATGGAAAATGAAAGAACTATCAAGAAGAAAGAGAAGCTCCTTGAAGAGATGCAGCAAAAGACAGATATTGCTAAGTCAGAATTAACGGAGAGAGAAGAATCTATAAACACTTTGCTAAATGACATTTCTAAGAAGGAAAAAGTGAGTTTACTAGTTGCAAAATTTTTTCTGCTTCCTGTACATTTTTGCTTATATAGCAATTGGTTTCTGTTTTAGGATTTTGAAGCCGTGAAGGCTAAAGTTGATATCAAAGAGAAGGAACTCCATGAATTTGAGGAGAAGCTTATTGTGAGGGAGCAGGTCAGCCTCAACTTGTCTAAAACTTCTTTTCTCTATTTGTTAAATATATACCGCCTTTTCTTTCTTGGTCATTGTAAATCTTCAGTAAATGAATAGAAAAATTAAAAGGTAGACGTGTCTTTGTGTTTTGATATTGTATTACACACACATTCCCACCCACCTCTATTAGCTACAAAATCAGAATTTGTATACAGAACTTGGGGTAATGTAACTAAGAGGAATATTTTAAAGTTACGGTGACATTTCTTGGGGTGATGCTACCGAAATTAATAATTGTTTGGAACAACTTACAGAACTTAATATATTCCAGGTTATTATTTTTTCTTTCGTTTCTGTCTGTTAATTGCCAAAATACTGTGCTTCAAAGAGAAATGACACTGATGAAATTTAACAGATGGAGATTGGGAAGCTCCTTGATGATCAGAAGACTGTTTTAGATTCTAGAAGACAGGAGTTTGAAATGGAGCTTGAACAGATGAGGAGATCCCTTGACGAAGAACTTGAGGGAAAGAAAGCTGATATTGAGCAACTGCAAGTTGAGATCAACCAAAAAGAAGAGAAGTTGGCGAAGAGAGAGGCAGCTTTGGAGAAAATGGAGGAAAGACTGAAGGTGAAAGATAAGGATCTTGAAGCAAGGCTAAAAACTGTGAAGGAAAATGAAAAATCTTTTAAAGCCGAAGGGAAAAAGCTGCATTTGGAAAATCAACGATTGCTCGAAGATAAAGAATGTTTGCGTAAACTAAAAGATGAGATTGAAGAGATCGGAGCTGAGACAACAAAGCAGGAGTCAAGGATTCTAGAAGAAAATGAAAGTCTCAGGATTACAAAGGAAGAGAGACTTGAGTTTCTGAGGCTGCAGTCTGAACTGAAACAGCAGTTAGATAGAGTTGAGCAAGAGGAGAAGTTGCTCTTAAAGGAACGTGAAGAACTGAAACAAGATAAGGAAAGATTTGAGAAAGAGTGGGAAGTTTTGGATGAAAAGAAGGCTGACATAGCTAGAGAGCAAAAAGAAGTTTTCGAAGAAAAAGAGAAATTGAGAAGGTTGCAAATATCAGAGAAGGATAGGTTAAATAGAGAAGAGATGACATCAAGGGATGATTTGAGGAGGGAGTTGGATGGTGTCAAGATGCAGAAAGAATCATTTGAAGCAGACATGGAGATTAAGAAACTAGCTTTGCATGAAAATGCCAAAAATAAGACCAATCAGTTGGTTGAAGATCTTGAGAAGCAAAAAAGGAATCTTGACATGGAGTTGCAAAGGCAAGAAGAAGAGGGTGAGAGAGATTTTAATGAGAGGGCGAGAACGTATGAGAAGAGAAGCCAAGAAGAGCTTGAAAACATTAATTACACAAAGAAGCAGGCTCAGAGGGAGATTGAAGAAGTGCAATACGAGAAGCTTGCTCTGGAGAAGGAAAGAGACGAAATTTCTATCCAAAAGAAGCTGTTGAAAGAACAAGAAGTTGAGATGCATAAGGACATCACTGAGCTAGATGTACTTAGAAGCTCGTTGAAGGAGCAACGAGCAGAATTCATCAGTACAAGGGAGCGTTTCCTAGTATTTCTGGAAAAACTTAAGAGCTGCAGTTCCTGCGGAGAAATAGCCGAAAATTTTGTTATGTCCGATCTTCAACTTCCTGATGTTAAAGATGGGGACAAACTTTTTGGGAAACGGAAATTAAAAGCAGACGAAGCTTTAAACATTTCTCCCAGCGCAGAAATTAGCAGGAAAACATCTTTTATTGGGAAAATTGCTTCAAAGCTGTTAAGTATATCACCGATTGGGAAGACAGATAAAGTCACTGATCTGGGTATAACAGTGAAGCTTCCAAAATCCTCGCAACGTGATGATAATCTGGATACAGTGTCAGGCGATGATCACGAACCATCTGCTACTGAACAGAGTTTTACAGATAGTAGAATACAAGAAGGTCCTGAAGTTTCCCTGCAATCAGAAATACAGAGTGAAAAACCTAGACGTGGTAGAGGTAGGGGTAAGTCTGTTAGAGGAAGATCGCAAGCAACAAAAGCTGCTTCTAAAGATTTAAAACCATCTGATGTAGAAACTCCAAGAAAGCGACAACGCGAACATGCATCTAGAATCACAGAAAGTGAACACACAGCTGGTGATAGCGATGAGGGTGTAGATAGTGTCGCAACTGGTGGACGTAGGAAGAAGAGACAAATAGCCGTTCCAGTCTCTCAACCGCCTGGGCAAAGCCGATATCATCTTAGGAGACATAGAAAGTAAGTTCCTACTTTTAAACTGGGAAAATGAGTTGCAATGAAATCAATACGTGTGAAACTAATATTTGTATGGAAAATCCTTTCAGTGTAGGAACAGAAGAAGATAAAGCACAAGCATCAACAGGTGCCACAGAAAAACAAGAAAGTGTCAATGGTGATATCAGAACAGTGGCAAGTCCAAAGGATACTCTTACTCTACCACAAGGTGAGATTAGAGAAAGTGGCAAAGCTGAAGTATTAGTGGAAGCGGTAACATATGAGGAGATTGTTAGGGTATGATTTTCTGAAACATCAAATTGGGTGTTCTTTCTTTCTTACTTTTCCAGCATGTCCAGATGTTCTCTCTTTCTATCTGAGTGGAACATGTGAGCATGTCAATCATAAGATATCTTTATTCTGAACCATAAGTTTTGATACAGGTTGAAGCAGAGACTGGGTTCAAGGATAACAACACCGGAAAGAGGGCAGTCGAAGATGCACAGTTAGAAACAGGAGGCATCAGTGAAATAAGAGAGCATGGTGAAGATGATGATGAGAATTTCAGCATGATCGAAGAGGAGAACGAAGGAGAAGGAGAAGCAACAGAGCGCCAAGGTGATGCTTCCATAGGAAAGAAGATTTGGGTCTTTTTCACAACCTGATCATGTTTCCTTTATTTCTCTCTAAAAGACAAAAACTATCCCACAAGTAGGATTTGCAACATCTTGTTATGTGTTGGTTCTTTTTTTAAACTTCACTTTCTTTTCTAAGCAACCGAAACAAAAAGGAAGTAAATCTTGGAAGGCATGAGCATGTTAACAAAATGTAAACATTTGATTTTACTCTACCACTACCAGCTCCATAGAGATAATGTTGGTATCCAAGGAAGGAACCAAACTAGACTTAGAGGTAAAGAAACTAAGTTACACAAGTCATTATTATGGACCTGACATCTTTTTTTGGTTATGTTTGCCTGAAAATCGCCAAACCAAAAATGAAGTCCCAAAACACAAAACGGTAAAAGGCAGAAAAGGACTACACAATGGCTTATATGTAGGATCTTACCAAGATTTGAAACTTAAATTGGATGGATTTATAGTGAGTAGATAGTAGATACGCCTCACCTTTCAATGTTAAGACAAAAGACTGAAAGAGTGTGGTCCAAAACAAAGGACATGCAAGAGGAGGAGCATCAAACTCAGTCTTCATTACACTCCAGTATTAGAAACATCCTCATTAATTTCTCAGTGGCAAAGTTTTATGACTTATGAATCAGTCATAAAATACATATTCTAAGTTCTTTTAATGCTCTTAATTCACTAAATCCAAAGTATTCTTCAGTTTTAGCCACGCATTAAGCTTCTACTTGTGAGTTTTTTTTTTTAAAATATTCATTTTTTTCAGGAAATATGATAAACTGTTTTTGAAGAAAGGGACAGTTGATGAAAATATCTAAATTCTGTAAAGAAAATTATCATAAATAGAAAATGCAAAAATCTGAGAGGCTGCAGAATTAACAGATCCTCTTATAAGAGACTTGATCTTCTCTGTCTTTCGCTTTCACTAGCAATATCAACACAAGATGTTGGACCTCTCTCTTCTTATCATTTTCATTACCATTATTGTATCTCTGCTTTGGTAACTGTGTCTTGCTTTTAAAGATTTGTTTATTTTTTTTCTTTTTCTTTCTCCATTTTATGAATTTTAATCGCTAATGCTAAGTCATTGTCTAAATCCATAGCTATGTACCCTATCACTCCACAATGATCAAACATCCATAAAATAAGATGAACATGTAAAAGTTGTTCTTTACATTTTCTTTATACTCTTTTTCTCATATAGACATATAGTGTTTGTTATTTCGGATTTAAACTCAGTATTTCAGTTTTGTCATCTTATATAGCCTCTGTGCTATATATGTAATCATAAGTTAGAGAAACAGATTTTTGGCTTTTCCTCTCTTCCTCTCTGGTTGTGCTCTTCTTCATGGCATGTCTTCTATAACAAACCCTAAAGAGAAACAAGAAACAGAGAAACCTCTAAAGTTTTCTTGAAATTTTCTTGTGACACAAACCAAGAAATAGTTTGTATACAAATCAACCAACATTCATTGTTTTCAAAAAGGGTCCCAATAACCCCATTGTAGTGATAGCTTTGTTTTCATCTCCCAACATTAGCACCCACCCAAAATTCTTGATTATCTTTTTTTTTTTTAACTTTCCCTTGATAGAAACATATGTAACAAGTAGGAATAATTCCAATACAGAGAAGATCCACACAACACTTTTCTTTCTCTTTCTCTTCTTTTGTATCTTCTCATTATAGTGTCTCAATATGAAGTTGCTTAGACTCAGGAAGAAGCAACGTTTGGTGTTTTTACTATGCGTGTGGTGTTTGGTGGTGGATTTGAACAAGGCAGAAACAGAGGAAAGTGAAGGAGGTCCTATGGAGAAAACAGAGCAAACTGCTCTCTACTCTACAATTCAAGGCTTTGTCGGTGACTCTTGGAATGGCTCTTATCTTTATCCTGACCCTTGTGGCTGGACTCCTATCCAGGTCCTTTCTCTCTTCATTCTTCTTTGATCTCATTTGACTCCTTTCAAGAACAATAAATTATTACCAATTATGGGAAATAACTATATTAGCAAGTGGCAACTAATGATAAAAGATAGTTAAAGCTTTCAAGATTCTGATTCTTGAACTGAAAAAAAAAAGATTCTAATTTCTTGAATTCTAAAACCGATCAAAAATGATTGAACAGCTGAAGTAACTTATCTGTTTATGTCTATAATGTTATCTCAAGCCATAAGATAGATTAAATGAAAATTCTTAACTCACTTTTTACTAGCAACGAGTAGTAAAAGTTCTTTTGTTCCATGCATTTTGATTTGTAATATCTCAACTTCATGAAACTTCACCAGTGAGTGTCAGAGAAAAAAGTCATTTCCTTGTTGTTGGTTTAAACATAACGTTTTCAATATAGTTTTTCAATGTTCTTTTGTTTTTCAAGAAATTTTAATTATTTTTGTTCTTAACTTTTGCAGGGTGTGACTTGTGATATGTATGATGATCATTGGTATGTAACTGCTCTAAGCTTTGGGACTGTTAAAGACAACTCTTTTGATTGTGCTGAGGTTCCAGTGATCAGACCACAACTCTTTGAGCTCAAGCATCTCAAGTCCCTCTCTTTTTACAGCTGCTTCACAACACCCAACCGATATCTAGCTTCAATCTCTGATGAGAAGTGGTTGGATCTCTCTAAAAGCTTGGAGAGACTTGAGATCAGATCAAACCTGGGATTGATAGGTGAACTCCCTTCTGTCATCACTAATCTCACCAACCTTCAATCTCTGGTAGTGCTAGAGAACCAGTTAACAGGTCCATTACCGGAGAATTTGGCCAAGTTAACAAGACTGAGACGCTTAGTATTGTCAGGAAACAAGTTCACAGGGAGAATACCAGAGGTCTATGGGTTAACCAAGTTGTTGATATTGGATCTGAGCCGGAACCTCTTATCTGGGCCGTTGCCTTTAAGCATTGGAGGATTGGGTTCACTGCTGAAACTTGATCTCAGTAACAATTACTTGGAAAGAAAGTTACCTAGAGAGCTACAGTCTTTAAAGAATCTAACTCTTTTGGATCTTAGAAACAACAGATTCTCAGGTGGATTGACTAAAGAGATCCAAGAGATGAGTTCTTTGGTAGAACTAGTTCTATCCAATAACCGCCTAACCGGGGACTTGACAGGAATAGAATGGAGACATCTCAAGAATTTGGTGGTTCTAGATCTCTCCAACACAGGATTAACAGGGGAGATTCCTAGTTCAGTCTTGGAGCTCAAGAAACTGAGGTTTTTAGGTCTGAGCAACAACAGTCTTGGAGGCAAACTCATTCCGCAAATGGAAACCGAAATGCCTAGTCTCAGCGCGCTGTACGTGAATGGAAATAACATCACCGGAGAGTTGGAATTCTCTAGGAAGTTTTATGAGAGGATGGGAAGGAGACTTGGTGTTTGGGGGAACCCTAATTTGTGTTATAACGGAGATGAGATCAAGAACCTTAGCGATCATGTTCCTTTTGGTGTGAACCAATGTAAAAGTGTTAAGGCAGATAAATATTAAGACAAAAGCTGTGGTCTTTTCAATTTAATCTCTCTATAATAAAAATACTAAAAAAACACAATTGAAAAAACCCATTAAGTATATCAAAGAACTTGGGGGAGGGGTTCACGTACTGCTTGGTTTGTTTCATTTACGTTTTGGGGATTTCTAGATCCGAAGTGTTTAGCCATGGCGAACAATTTGACTTCATTCTACACCCGTATATATGAGGCTGTGAACGATTTTTCAGTGGATTCAATAATCTCGTGGGAAAAAACTAACAACATTTTCGTCATGTCCAATTCATTATGAACCGATCATGGACAAACCCATAAATGATATAGGTTTTAGTGGTCTAAGGTCAATATCGTCCACGGACAAAACGGACTAGACATAATGGATAATAGGCACCCCATATCAATTAAAAATTAGGTTAAAACTGATTTGGAGAAAAATCTGAAAATCATTTTTCATCTCATATTTCAAACATAAGGATGTAAGAATAGGTAAAGTACAAAATCATGTTTTGGCGGAAAAATTACAGAATCATATTTTTAACAGGAATATTACAAAAATCACTTTTTAGCGGAAAATGGCGAAAAAATTACGGAATCATGTTTTTGACGAAAAAAATTACAAAATCACATTTTTAGCAAGAAAACTAGAAAAACCACGTTTTTGACAAAACGAATACATAATAACCTTTATGACGGGAGATAACAGAAAAATAGGAAAAGCAAATTTTTTGTTGGCAGAAAAATTACAAAATCACTTTTTTGACGAGAAAGTACGGAATCACGCTTTTGGCAGAATATTACAAAATCACGTTGTAATCTAATATTTTTTTTTTAATTTTTGTGTTTGTTTGTGTTTGAATCTTGCTATATATGTTTTTTGTTGTCCTTGTTGGTAAGGGATTTAAAAGAGTTAAGGGCCGGGGTCTCCACACATGGAATTAAAAAATGCTAATTTGTGAGGGAAAAAGACAATTGCTCCATATTAAATCCATTAAAAATTTCTCCCGTTAAGGGAGTACGTTGTATTGAATATTTTAAACATAGTGGTAAATATATACATACAGTAGTCACCATAGATTCATTTCATTCATCACATATAAACAAGTGGAAGTGACAATCAGAAAATTGAACGAGAAAGAAAAAAAAATGGCGTGGATGAAATACATATAATTACGAAAAATGAATAGTAATAATAAAATTTTATGTGATAAAGTTATTATTATTTATTTTTAGTTTTATTTTGTTGTAGATTCTGACTCAAAAAGCCTCTATGGGAATGCTTTTAGTGTTTTTTGTTTTTTTTGGTTTTCGTCAACCAATGTCAAAGAATGATGGCAGGTAAATATTAGAGTCCTCGTTTTGAATCAAAGGATCCGTGATAATCAATAACCTAAAACTTGGAAAGTTACTAAGCTGCAAGTATTTTCGATTATTTAGAACCCAAATTATATAATCTCTCTTGTTTGAAACATAATGTGTTTTTTTCATACGAGGAATATTAAATACTGTATTAAACTTTTTTTCCATACTAAAAGTTATTTACATAGTCATAGATACTATAGCTTAAGATTAAATAATAATAATAATATAGCTTTTAGTATATATAGATATGTGTTTCCATCAAAGTATATATAAGATAAAGAAGTGTATATGACTTTTTGCGACATGTCTAAACGTAGGAGTGTATGTTTTGAAACTTTAACCTTTTTGCATTTCATAATATATATACATATATAAAAGTCTAGCTATTGGAAAAAAGTAATCCGTGAAGAAGTCTCGTATAGATTCAGAAATCAGGTGGATATCCAAATCAAAATTGGCATAAACTAAACAAAAACGTGAATCATGGGAAAGCCACTTGTCAAAGTTGTCAAATGTTGTGTATCTGAGTCAACCCTCCATACTTGCATCTTTCTTCTTTTAAATTTCTTGAAGTACCTTCTCACGCAAAAGATATAGAGTTGGTATACTTTGTTTTTACGTGCCCTGTGCATGAATTTTCAGTATCTTTCATGTGTAAATTTCTTGTATCATGATTAGCCTACGACATGTTTTATTATCTAATTCTAATCTTGTTTACTATATATACGTACGTACGAAAGCTCTCTTGTCTGATATGAATTCGAGAGCTAATCTTGCTTTACTAGTCATAATCTTGTGATATATATAAGTACTGTTGAAAGTTTGAATTATACAAAAGAAAACAAAAGACTAGTGACGATGTCCATAATCAAAACCATTAAGTATTTCTCGCGTCAACGGAGTTTATACATACATATGAAAATATTGAAAACACGACAGTCCCATCAAACCAGATTCCCATTTCATATTCATGACGTACGTACGTATAGACGAAGGCGGCGACTAAAAACAATGAGAAAACTTCAACCTTTGAATTTATAAAAATGATAATACAGAAAATTCAAAGTCTCTCATTAGCGTAGGCTACACTCCTCTCTTGACATTCCCCGACTTCCCCCTCATTTCCGCCACACTTATTTCCAATCAAATCCACACAGACACACAAACATGTTATAAATATACACATAGTCACACCATACATACACATTATTCATTTCATTCATTACTTCAAGAAGTGGAAGTGAAAATTAGGAAAAAGATAGATTACCAAATGGCTTCGTGTCGTACGATGATGGTTCTGCTCTGTCTTGTTCTGTTTCTGATGGCAAGTAGTTCTTTGACAGCCGCCGCGAGAATTGGAGCCATGAGGGAGATGACGATCAAGAATGGAAAGAGCTTAAGGGTTATTAAATACAGCCATATTTTGGGTTACTTACCTAAAGGCGTTCCCATTCCTCCTTCTGCTCCTTCTAAGAGACACAACTCTTTTGTTGACTCTCTTCCTCATTGAGTTGATTTCCTTAATTCTTTGTATTTTATTTATTTATTTGTGGTTTTGTTTTGTAGATTAGATCAACATAGGTTATACTCTTTGTATATGCATACGATTTATGTATACTTAAATTTGAATTTGTTCCTTTTTAATATATGTTTAAGGACTTAATATATGTTTAAGGTCATGATGGCAATATAAAGATCAAGAAAATGGATTAAGATTTCTTTGCCTTCTTTCAAATTTATATGTACTTCATATTTCCATAGGTCTCGCACACCATAAGCTAATCAAACATGTGTTAGTACTTAGTCTTAATCTTGTCATGTCTAGTGAAACTATTTTAAGGGACTAGTCATCAAAAGTATATCTTATCAAGAACCTCCTCAAAACCATATGAAGTTTATTCCGTAAAAGAGATTGAAATTAATGAACTAATTCTTTTATTGGCCTAAATGTGTTAAGACTGGTTTACACAAATATCTTGCTGCACTATATATTTATATTAATGACCAAATTAGTTAATGAACAATTATACAAACGAATTTACAATATTACAATCGTATTCATGTATTTTTTTATTATCATATTTTATGATGTTTTATAAGCAGGTTAATTACAATCACACGTTTAAGTATATTTTCTAATTAAATTTAATATTAACTAAAATAATGTAATTGCTTATATGTATTTGTTCTAATCTATGTTTATGGACTTAAGTATATGCTTGACGTCATGTAAAGTTCCTGAAAGCTTTGTTACTCTTCTTTTGAGTTTATATATACTTCTGATTAAGATTATTCCATATCCCTCACACATCAAACATATGTTAGTCTTAATCTTGTCATGTTCTTTAACTATGTCATATCCGTAACAAGGACCACTTGATAGGAAAAACAGAGACCAAAAAATACAGTAAAAAGGAGAAGAGAGAGAGAGAGGGGCATTCCGAGAATTGAACTCGGGACCTCTCGCACCCTAAGCGAGAATCATACCACTAGACCAAATGCCCTTGTTAATCTACAATCTGAATAATCAAACCACAAGACTCTGGCCAAGAAAATATATCATGGTTTAAATCTCTTTCTAAACTAGTTCTTGTAATCACCATTGTCCATTGGTGCGATTTAGCCTTCATTTTAAAAAGTTTTTGTTTTGCTTTTAAAAAATTGTTTAATTTCTCTTTCTATCTATTTGTATTTGAATTTATTTTTGGATCTCTTGTTTGATTTTTTTAGGGATTGAATATGAGTATATATTAGTGAATTTGATCAAGGGAGATCAGTTCAATCTAGGTGCGTAGATTCAAGATTCACTTGATAGTTGCTATTTCAAATTGGTGTATTTTTCAATTCTCAAAAGACTTGTTCAACTAGTACATGTGTTTAGTCTACAACAAAACAAAGATTTACCGACTACAATATTAGTCACCTCATGTTTACTAAGGTAACTTGTCAGTGAAATAGGTCGCAAGTGCAAGTGCTTGATTCCGATCATAAAAAAACAATGTCATCCATGATGGTTTTGGTGTTTGCGGAGCATATGTGAGAAGGATCTATCAATGACCACACTTTTCAAGCTCTTTAGCGAATTTTGAAAGTTGTAAACAACATTCATACAACTGATGAAGGAGCTTTGGAATGCCTCTTGAAATGATTAACCACTAAGAAAATGCATTTCCTCACAACCTCTTCGTCGTCTTTTAGATACTCTGAAATGCTATTATGTTTTATCTCAAGTTGAAAAGCCGGCATATAAGTTTCAGTAAGATAATCAATTCGAGTTTTGGTCGTCGCTCTTAGAGTTGTGGATTCAAGAAAATAGTCTTCTACTTCCAAAGTTATATTATTCTATAGCTATCAAGGTTGATGCAATTTCAGTGCATGTTATTTGTGAATAAAGTGTATATACATATCATTAATATATTTATATACATGTATAGCATAATTATACTAAGGAACTTCTATTTGTTTACAAAAAATACACACATATACTTTTTGCCAAAAAGAGAATATAGTTTACTAATTAAAATTTAAACATATACCTAGGCATGTCAATCGGGCTAGCCCGGCCCGGCCCGGCCCGAAACTCGTAAAGCCCTCATATATGTGAGCCCGGCCCGGCCCGGCCCGAAAAAATTCCGAGCCTATATTTCAAAGCCCGGCCCGGCCCTAACAGGGCTACATGGTTTTTCGGGCTTTTTTGGGCTTTATTTACCGATAAAAAAAATCAATTTCTAAGTTCATAATAGTTTTTTCAAAACTATATTTAAAGGTCTACTATAAAAATAATGCATCAAATTTTAAATAACTTATCAATATTCAATAAAACTAACTTAATTTAAGAGAAAAAAATAAAAGCCAAATAAATTATTTACACTTTAACCCAATAAAACATGGAACTAAAATACTTTAAATTATAAGATAGAGTCAAAATTTAATAGAAATTTTGATGATTTCAAAATCATGATACTTATATATATTTAGTTTTAGCTTTGTATAAAGATTTTAAAAGTAATAAGTAAGACTAGTAAGTAAATATGAAAACTATAACGTTAATCAAATCTTTTAATCAAACTAAAATATTCAAAAAATTCAAAATATATTTGTATAAGGGCTTTTCGGACCGGCCCGACCCCGACCGGGCTAAGCCCAAAAAACCCTTTAGCCCGAATGGGCTTAGCCCAAAAGGCCCGATTTTTTCTGGACATATATATTTAAGCCCGATCCCGATGTTTTTCAGGGTCGGACCAAACTAGCCCGCGGGCTTTAGCCCTAATTGACATGCCTACATATACCATTCATCACGCCGGAGAGTAAAACCTTCGGACAATGTCATAACAAATTGCAACTTATCATTTCTATAATTTAATGAGTTTATCAAAATTCACGTACGCATGAAACCAACATATTTGATCAACCTTAAGAATATTTTTATTAAAATATACTATTAGATCAGAGATTGATAAATATATTAAAATGTGAATATATTAATCATCAAAGTGAAATAATGGACATACAACTCGTAAACTTCTTGAAGTATTATATAATCTTTTATTTAGAAGATGTTAAAAAAAAAAAAAAATCTTTTATTTAGAATTTATAGAGCTATTAATATATTACAAGTTACAACACTAACTCTTTTATCGATTGTAAATGTTAAATATACATCTTTTAACCATATTTCCGCTTATATTTCCAATACGTATTGAAATATAGTTTCTCAAATAGTAGCATTACATTGAAAACGTCTAGCAATTTAACTTATATGAGCAACAAATCTTTTATGTTATAAAGCACAAATCACGACTACCAAAAAGTAAATAAAGCACAAATCACTATACGAATAGAATTGTGACACATCAGCAAACACAAAAGTAATTGAACAAGAAAAACAGCAAAAAAATACAAAAAAAAATAGTGGATTTGCATTGCAACTGCTCCTCCACAATTTTTTTGGTTCCACTTCCCCATATTCTCACATCCCACGATCTCCATTATTTTTAGTTTAAAGCCATTGTTAATGTAATTTCAAAATGCTAAACGACTTCAATTTGGCTTTAGATTTTTCACACAAAAAAAAAGTAGTAAAAAACACTACGGAAGAAATGGTGATCCATGAACAATCTTGGAGGATTTTGTCTTGACATTATATATAGTTATGACATCTATGAAGGAAGATATATTACTTCCACTAAGAGACTATGTAAAAATCAGACCAAATCCTAAGATGGTGATTCTATTACTTATTTTTATTAATGATGCAAATTTCTTTGTTTTTATAACGGAGTTGGATTTGAATCTCTAAGTTTTTGTTTTTTGTTTTGTATAGATTTTGTATCCCACGTATTGAGTAGTTTTAGTGCCACTGTTGCTCTAATTCATGCTTCCTCTTAACAAGGCTAAACTAAATTTACATTTTAACATTTTTAGTTGATCCTTCACATTGTACCTGTGAAGCTAAACCAATTCTGTTAAATTGATACAAAATATTTATCTGAATTTCCTATACTACAAATAACTATATTAAAATACAATATTACTTTTCGATCATTTTATTTAGTAAAATTATTGTTTAATTATAATACTACAAGTCCACAAACCTTGTTTTTTTTATTTCCACAAAACTGTATACTTCTTTCCCGTGGTACGAGGTCAAAACTAGTTAAAACTTATATTGCAAAAAATCAGTTAGTAATTCTATTTAGAAGGTTATAAGTACTGTATGTTTCACTCGTCGATCTCTCATACACCATGGTATTAAAAATCAAACATATTATAACTACAAAGTCGTAAAAGGAAAAGAGAGAGAGGGGGCATTCCGAGAATTGAACTCGGGACCTCTCGCACCCTAAGCGAGAATCATACCACTAGACCAAATGCCCTTTTTATTCAATACCAAATCAATAACTTTACTCATTCATTCATACAAGATCTCTCTATCTCAGTTTCCACTACCACCACAACCATGATGAGTGAAAGGATTGAATCCACTTCCAAACAATTTCTCAAGTGGCCAAAACAGAGGCGTTGGTAGATTCTCCCAATCATACCAATCCCATCCTTCACTCTTCTCCGGTTCCATATTCTTCGGTTCTTGACTCGAATCCACAAGCACCGCACTCATCGAAACAGTGACGTAGTGCGATGGCTTCGGTGCTTCTTTGAAGACATTGTTTGAAACAGTCAGAAGCTTCATCTTCTCAATCTTTAGACCAGTTTCCTCCATTACTTCTCTAGCTGCACACTCTTCAAAGCTCTCACCTGCTTATAAGAGCAAAGATTAGCTTCAACTATGTAATCAAGATTTGGGAGAAATCAAAAAGAGAGTGAGAGAGACCGAATTCGAGGTGGCCGCCGGGAAGAGCGAAGGTGGAGTTTCCGACTGAGGAACGTCGGCGACCTAATAAGATTGAGTTTTCTTTGAGAATGTAAACTACGACGGCGACTCTTGGTATCGCTTCTCCTGTCGCCATTATTGTCTGTCCAACACTGTGAAACCCTTTCGTGTCGTGTTTTTGGGTTTTGTTGACTTATTTTGATCGAACGGCGTCGTATTGATTCAGCATTTATTTTGTTTATAGCACAAATGTGTGATGTGTCTTTATGATTGGCTTACATAAGTATTTTTGCTACTTTCCCATTTTAGACTTTTTTTTTTTTAATCGTAATCTGTTAGTAGTAAATGATTATCCAAAAATTTGCCTTTAAAAAAAAAGTAAGTGTTAAAAAAAAAAAAAGTAAAAATTTCTCTTACAATATATATTTACTTCAAATCGTTTTTGACAAGTATTTTAGAATTTTCGCATCAGTTTATCATAGTTTACATTTTGTCTTTATTTTTTAATCATAATCAAGTCAATTTATTATATATTATCGTGTTTTCCATCATAATTTTTTTGATTCATATGGTTATATATTTATTTAACGTAATCCAATTATATTATTACAATCTAACTATGGTTATCGCATCTTAAGCTTATACTAATGGTTGACAAAAAAAAATCTTAAACTACTGTTAATTAAAATAGTCAATTGATACTATTATTATCTCCAAAGGACACTATGTGTTAACTTGAAAAAATATATTAATTTGAAATTACTTACCTTAAATGTAATTAGAAAAATTTACTGAATAATTAATTTGTTAGGTTGATGGGGCTACCTCTATATTTTTATCATCCTACAATCTCACATATTATTATTGTTTGACCATATTTACGTACGTGGACGATGTTTCAAGTCAGGAAAGGAAAAATAAACAAAACGACCATTTTTGCCTTTTATATTAGTAGACATTGATTGACTCAACATATTCAATTCTTCACTTCCCTCTTCTACAAATCTGAAAAAACCAAACCACAAGACTCTGCAAAGACCCAAGAAAGCATATCATGGTTTAAACCTCTTTCTAATCTAGTTCTTGTAACCACCATTGGTGATGATAAGTTGATATTAACACTTCATCGTCTCAACTCAAGTTCTTTCTTGTTTTTTGGGGTTTTTTCTTCGGTGATTTTTTTTTTCCAGGCATACTCCGATGGACTTAAGATGGAGAAGCTGAAACTTTATTCCTACTGGAGAAGCTCGTGTGGTCATAGGGTGCGATTAGCCCTCACTTTAAAAGGTTTTTTTTCTGCTTTTGATAATTGTTTCCCTTCTAATAATTTTTATTTTGAGTTTTTGGATTTCATTGTTTTTAGGAATTGAGTATGAGTATATAGCAGTGAATTTGCTCAAAGGAGATCAATTCAATCCAGGTGCGTAGATTCAAGTTTTTCTTGCTAGTTGCTATATTAAATTAGTTTATTTGTTCAGATCTCGAAAAACTTGTTCAACTAGTGCATGTGTTTAGCATCGTTAGCTGTATTTCGTAATGATATTATGGATATGTGTTTAGCGTTATTAATCGCACATGTGAATTTCGAAATGGGGTCTTCTGTTTGGCACAAAGTCACAACTGTTAGACTTATTCTTTCTGTACATATATATTTGTGATATATAATTTGAAAGATGTAATTTATTTTTGATATAAATTGGTGCAAATTTCCCGTTGTATTCAAATTTCACTTGCAAAAAATATCTATTCATACATAACCAAAACTTGAACAAAACTCTCAGACTTCTATCGAATATATAATTAGCACATAAAAGTTTCTTTGTTATTATTATTGTTTTTTTTTTTTGAATAATAAAAAAATTGTTTTCTATGTTTTAATTGATCCCCAAGATTTCCAGAAGATCAATCCAATGGGTACTGTACCAGTGCTTGTGGATGGAGATGTTGTGATATCTGATTCTTTTGCCATTATAATGGTCAGTAAAACATTTATTTATATGTTTTGTGGATTCAAAAGCAAAAGTTTCTTGAAACTCAGTTTTTTTTTTATCGACAGTATCTTGATGAGAAGTATCCAGAGCCACCTTTGTTACCTCATGACCTCCATAAACGAGTTTTAAATTACCAGGTATCTTCTATATAGGCCATAGAGTAGAAATATATACTTTTTTCGATGAATTTTTTACCAATAATATTTTAATTGGAATTTGATATGTTTTCGTGTAGTATATTGCGAGAAGTAATTGTTTTTATTTTTTTCAGGCTACTAGTATAATTTCCTCTGGTATACAACCTCTTCAAAACCTAGCTGTTATTGTAAGAACATCAGTTAGATTTTGAAATTTCTTAGATGCAAAAACAGAACTAGTTACACATTATTCATATATCCTTTTTTTTTGTTTTTGGGTTGTACAGAGGTATATAGAGGAAAAGACAAATGCTGAGGAGAAGATTGCTTGGGTTAATAACGCTATAAGAAAAGGATATACAGGTATCAACTATGAAGTCTTTAACATGCAACATTACTGTCATTAGCTTAGGTAATTGAGAACACATTCGTATTGCTAAACATATGTTATATCTTAATTAGCTCTGGAGAAACTGTTGGTGAATTGCGCTGGAAAATATGCGACTGGTGATGAAATTTACTTGGTAATTTTTTTTTTGCTCTACATTATTTTATCATCTCTTTCAAGATTCGAGAAAATGTTAATCTCTTTTGATTCTTTTTGTGAAGGCTGATCTTTTTCTAGCAACCCAAATCCATGCAGCAGTGATCAAATTCCAAATTGATGTGGTAAACAAAAGAAAATAACTAATGAAGGCTAACTTTTTCATTGAAATTTTTGTTACATGTAACAGTTTGTTGTTATAAATATAATTTTTAATAATTTGTATGGATTTCTACAGGAACCGTATCCAACTCTTGCAAAGTGTTACGAGTCATACAAGAATCTGCATGTGTTTGAAGATGCACTCCCAGCGAAACAGCTAGATGCTCCAGCTCCATCCAACTAGTTTATTCGAAACACAAACTTTGGTCACCTTATACCACGTTTAATCTTTTTGACGTACGAATTGTCACAATACCTTCCAAATTATCAGACAATTTCTTCTTTTTTTTAATAAAAAAACTCTGTTTATTTTTTTTTTATCAAATTAGCAGACCACTTTTTTTTAATCTATTTTAATTGAATAATATATAGATACATGCATTAACTTGCCTATCATGCTTAGCTTTTTCTTTATAATTACGGCCCAAAATATAATTTTTTTTTGTTTAAATTATTTGTTGTTTAGAGAAGAAAAAAGAAGAAAAAGAAGAATTTTTGAGAAATACTCCTTTAAAAATACCCCTCTTTTCTATCCATTTTCAAAAATACCCCTTTTCAAATATGAAAAACTATAAACTTTTATATTGTTGATAAGGTTGATAAGGTACATCAAGATCATCTTTACTACTGCGTGACTAAATCCAAATATTTATAAGGTTTTAAAAGGTTTTAAACGGCATTTATAAGGTTTTATAAGGTTTTTAAAAGGTTTACAAAAATTTTATAAGGTTTTTAAATGATTTTTAAAAGGTTTTAAAATATATTTATGAAATATATATTTATAAATTTACACACATATAAAGATAATTTGTGTCTATAAATATAAGCTTATACATATTTTTTTGATAAATTTCAAATTTTGTAGTGACTTTTTGATAAAATTAGAAAGAGGGGTATTTTTAAAAAGTGTTATTGGAAAAGAGGTATTTTTGAAATTCCCCCATATTTTTAAAGTTTTGGAAAGAAAGAAGAAAAGGCTACCATATTTTTACGGAAACACCGCATAACTTCTCTACAACAAACTCAGACAGTTCTCACTTCTCACAACAACTCCACTTCCAATATGCTCAACTCTCAGACCCACAATCAAATCAAACCACAAACAACATGCTCAAAGTCTACAACAACCCCAGACACTTCTCACAACAAATCCACTTCCCATATGCTCAAAGTCTCAGACCCACAAGCAAATCAAACCACAAACAACATGCTCAAAGTCTACAACAACCCCAAACAATTCTCACAACAACTCCACTTCCCATATGCTCAACGTCTCAGATCCACAAGCAAATAAAACCACAAACAACATGCTCAAAGTCTACAACAACCCTAGACAATTCTAACAGTACCCCAAACAATTCTAACAACAACTCCACTTCCCATATGCTCAAAGTCTCAAACCCACAAGCAAATCAAACCACAAACAACATGCTCAAAGTCTACAACAACCCCAGATAAGTCTCACACCACTTCTCATATGCTCAAAGTCTTAGATCCACAAGCAAATAAAACCACAAACAACATGCTCAAAGTCTACAACAACCCCAGACAATTCTCACAACAACTCCACTTCCCATATGCTCAACGTCTCAGATCCATAAGCAAATCAAACCACAAACAACATGCTCAAAGTCTACAACAACCCCAGACAATTCTAAAAACAACCCCACTTCCCATATGCTCAAAGTCTCAAACCCACAAGCAAATCAAACCACAAACAACATGCTCAAAGTCTACAACAACCCCACACAAGTCTCACACCACTTCTCATATGCTCAAAGTCTCAGATTCACAAGCAAATCAAACAACAAACAATATGCTCAAAGTCTACAACAACCCCAAACAAGTCTCACACCACTTCTCATATGCTCAAAGTCTCAGATTCACAAGCAAATCAAACCAAAAACAACATGCTCAAAGTCTACAACAACCCCAGACAATTCTCACAACAACTCCACTTTCCATATGCTCAACGTCTCCGACCCACAAGCAAATCAAACCACAAACGAAGAAAATTACCTTGCACCGAAGAGAATCAAGATGCGACGTCATCTTCCTCCTCAATTTTCAGCAACAACTTTACTGGATTAGTGTCTTCTCTCAGAAACCCTAGGTTGAAAAGGGGATTTTTTTCTTCAGCAAAGATCGATACAGAGAGTTTTTTTTTACTTTGTGTCGTCGATTCAATTTTTTTTGTTTTGGCTGTAAAAGTTTTTCTCAAGGCTGTTAAAAATGTTAGTGGGCTGGATTTAGATGAAGACTAGGCCCATTAGTTAAATTGGATATTAATTCTTTGCACTCAGGGCCAATGAGTAAGTGTATAATTTTCATATCAAAACAATATGTGCATTGTACTAAATTTATAAGGTATTTAGTATTAAAAATAATGGAAATTTAAGAATACATAATTAACAAAGCAATAAACTGAAAACTAATATTTTCATATTGAAAAAATAATATTGTTTTAAATATATTTGTTCCATATATTACATCTCATATGTAGTAATTATACAACATGTCCAACTAATTTTATATAATACTATACTAACATTATCATAAGCTCACTATTTTTTCTTGGAGTTTTTTATGCTATCCCTAAAAATTAGATGGGTAAAACCCGAAATTATAGAAAAATATAATAATCCAAAAAAAAAATCTAAAAGAAGAATAATATGCATAATATCTAAACATATGTTCTGAGTTACATAACTTATGAAAATTTTGGCCTCATATTTAAATTTGACAACAGAAAAAGGGAGAGAAAATATGAGATAACTTATACAACTTTCATGTAGTTTTACCTTATAATATGTAACATTCTTATAAAAATGAAAAACAACATCGAAATATATGAGACAATTTATGTAACATTCTTATAATACGTAACATTCTTATAATATGTAACATTCTTTAACAATAGAATGAAGTTGAACCAATGGTGGTGTTTTTGAAGAAATTATTATTTTTGGTTACAAAATATGAGACATTTTATTTGCTTTTTTCGATGTCACTATATACAATAGTTAAGGATGGTATATCTAATTTTCTTTCTTCACAAAAACATAGTGGTTAAGAAAGCAAAAAGAAATCTCATGTCTTATTAATATATATATATGAAATCAAAAGCTAATCTTGCTTTCAGAATTTCATACATCTTGTGAGTTGTGATATAAGTACTATTGAAATTTTGAATTATAGAAAAGAATAGTAATGATGTCCACATCAAAACCATTAAATATTATTTTTCCCGTCAACGGAGTTGTATTGAATATTTTGAACATGTTATCAAATATACACATAGTCACCATATATACATTCATTTCATTCATAATTACTTAAAGTAGTGGATGTGGAAATTAGAAAAAGAGAAAGAAAAAATGGCGTTTTTTTTTTTCTTTTTGCTCCTTCTAAATAACATATACCATCTAGTGTATGTGTATCCATATTAACAGCCTTTACGGAGTTCATACTTGCAATTAAGAATCTTCCATATGCATTACACATTTACACACATCAGACGCTAATCAAACATATGTTTCTTATTATTCTTCCCAGTTTCCTAAATATGTTTATATTTGTAACAACTTTATCTTCTATCAGTTGTCTTGGTAACAACTTTTATTTTTATATTATAAAAGAAAAAAATTAATATTTTTTTAAACATATGTTACAATTTGAATTTTTCAAAACGGATATATAATACTCAACTAATAAAAAAATAAGTGTATACAACGTCTTTCAAAACGGACATATATTACTCAACTAATAAAGAATATTTTTTTTTTTTTGCAGAATTTTTGACCAATACTCTGGTTGAGATTTAATTTGTATGTTTTCTTGTAGTATATTAGGAAATTTTTAAATGTTTTCTTTTTTAGGCTGCGAGTATTATTTCTTCTGGTATACAGCCTCTTATGCAAAAACAGAACTAGTTACACATTATTCATATATCCTTTCTTTTTTTTTTTGGGTTGTACAGAGGTATATAGAGGAAAAGACAAATACTGAGGAGAAGATTGCTTGGGTTAATAACATTATAAGAAAAGGATATACAGGTATCAACTATGAAGTCTTTAACATGCAACATTACGGTCATTAGCTTAGGTAATTGAAAACACATTCGTATTGTCTAAACATATGTTATATCTTAATTAGCTCTGGAGGAACTGTTGGTGACTTACGCTGGAAAATATGCGACTGGTGATGAAGTTTACTTGGTATTGTTTTTTGCTCTAAATTATGTAATCCTCGCTAGCTTACAAGATTCAAGAAAATGTTAATCTCTTTTGATTCTTTTTGTGAAGGCTGATCTTTTTCTAGCAACCCAAATCCATGCAGCAGTGATCAAATTCCAAATTGATGTGGTAAACAAAAGAAAATAATTTAAAGAAGACTAACATTTTCATTAAATTTTTGTTACATGTAATAGTTTTTCTGTTATCAAAGTATTTTAATCATTTTTTTTTCATTTTGTATGGATTTCTACAGGAACCGTATCCAACTCTTGCAAAGTGTTACGAGTCATACAAGAATCTGCCTGTGTTTGAAGATGCACTCCCAGCGAAACAGCTAGATGCTCCACCTCCATCCAACTAGTTTGTTCGTAACACAAACTTTGGTCACCACGTTTAGTTTTTGTGTCGTACGAATTGTCACAAATGTCTTCCAAATTACCAGAATTGTTTTTTATTTATTTTTGTTTTATTAAAAAAAAAAACTCTGTTTATTTTTTCTTTCATAGTATCGCAAGTTTTTTCAATATAATTAATTAAATCATATATACCTGCGTTAATTAACGTCCCAAAATATAAATCTTTTGTTGTATTTTGTTATTTAAAGAGCCAAGAGTAAAAATTAAAATTTTGGTAATAAACAAGAAGAGGCTCCAGATTTTTACGGGAGATATTGAACTTAAGCACCACAAATTTAACAGCGCCATAATTTACTACGTTGACCACCATAATTAGTAATCATCGAAAATATTTAACTTTAATCACTAACAATTAACATTTTCATTCTCCAACCATAACATTCACTCTGTTTCATCATCCATACAATGACAGACACAACAGACGATATCGCCGAGGAGATCTCATTCCAAAGCTTCGAAGATGACTGCAAGTTACTCGGCAGCTTATTCCATGACGTGTTACAAAGGGAAGTTGGTAACTCCTTCATGGAAAAAATCGAACGCATTCGGATTCTTGCTCAGGTTTTGTTATTCACCTATTCGTTTTCAATAAGCTCTAATGGTTCATGTATTACTTGTTCCCTTTTGAATCTATATATGTAGATCATTGCTAGGAATCTCACATTGTAGTAATAAACGTAACGTTTCAGAGTGCGTTAAATTTGCGTTTGGCTGGTATTGAGGATACTGCGAACCTTTTGGAGAAGCAGCTGACTAGTGAATTATCCAAAATGCCACTAGAGGAAGCCTTAACATTGGCTCGTTCGTTCACTCATTCTCTTAAATTGATGGGCATTGCAGACACTCATCACAGGTCATTGTTTTGATACAAACACTTTACAACAAAATATATTTATACATGCATGTATAGTAGATTCTAAATTATACATTTCTTTTGCAGGATGCATAAAGTCCATAACGTTACACAACTTGCAAGATCTTGTGATGATATATTCAGCCAGCTATTGCAAAGTGGGATTTCTCCAGACGAGCTTTACGATACTGTTTGCAAACAGGTCTAGCAACTTCATATTTGTATCACTTTATAAACACAATCTAATCATCATTTTCTCAGTTCGATATATGATTGGTTACTAATGTTTTTGTCACGCTTTAGGAGGTGGAAATTGTTCTTACTGCTCATCCTACTCAAATTAATCGACGAACCTTGCAATACAAGCATGTTAGAATTGCTGTAAGTTTCTAATGGTGTTTGACAATATGATTATGTATCTATCTTTTAAATTTTACTTGAGTGTTTGAATTATATGCTTCTTGCAGCATCTTCTTGAATATAACACCAGATCAGATCTAAGCCTTGAAGATCGCGAAAGGCTCATTGAAGATTTGGTACTCACCACATCAACATCTTCCATATAAAATTTCTCAGCTGAATAACTAATAATCTAAGAGTTACTTATACTTTAAAGGTTAGGGAGATAACTTCACTATGGCAAACTGATGAGCTTAGACGTCAGAAACCTACTCCAGTTGATGAAGCTAGAGCTGGTACGTTAGATCTAATATGTAAATTCAGAAAACAAGAAGTTTGACATAATTAACACTTAAAAAAAAAAAATTATCAGGTCTAAACATTGTTGAGCAATCTCTCTGGAAAGCTGTACCACAGTACCTACGTCGTGTCAGCAATTCCTTAAAGAAGGTATTATTTTTAGTTTTTTACCTTTAGATCCTAGAATATGTTGGAAAAAAATCTGAATAAATAGTAAAGTTAATTTACCTTAAGACAATATTGATATTTTCTATGTTCTTGTTTTAGTTCACAGGGAAGCCACTTCCACTAACATGCACTCCTATAAAATTTGGTTCTTGGATGGGAGGTGATAGAGATGGAAACCCAAATGTCACGGCCAAGGTAAGACTTTTTTTTATATTTTACGTTCATGGTCATTATATATTACTCTCTAGTTCACATCTCACTTGTAATATGAGCTTCTTAACATTTACTTTTCCATGAAGGGAACTTATCTTTAAGACTTTAACACATTTAAATGTTGTCATATCATTTTGTCCAGGTTACGAAAGAAGTATCTCTCTTGTCTAGGTGGATGGCTATCGATATGTACATAAGAGAGGTTGATAGCTTAAGATTCGAATTGTCTACGGATCGATGTAGTGACAGGTTTTCAAGATTAGCAGATGAAATTCTTGAAAAAGGTACAAACATGCTTCAATTTCTATAACATCTTTATTTTTACATTCATATAGTTTCTTTTTAATTTAAATCTTATACTTTGATGCTTTCTCCCTTCAGAAAGTTCTGAACAAGATTCTGATAGAGGCCAATCAAATTACTTAAACCAACAAAGTTCATCATCTCTGCCATCACAGCTTCCAGCTAGAGCTCACCTTCCTTCATGCATTGGTAAAATAACTCTTTCTTAGATTAAAAAGAATAATTTATTCGAACATTTACATATTTTCATGCATGTTTTTTTCTTTCTATCCCAACGTATTGCAGAATTTGGTGAATCACAACATACGAAATTTGAAATTGCTGCTACGACAGATTATATGCCACCCAATCTTCAGGTAAAGAAAAGCTTTTAATCAAGCTTACATAAGCATGCTCTCCATTCTTGAAAAGTTTTGCTCCATTCTTGAAAAACAAGTTTTTTGATATATTTTGTTTTCTAATCATTTTTGTTAATATAGAAGCAGAGTAGCCAAGGCTTATCAAAAATCGACTCGGAGAAAGCTGACAATGGTTCGCAGACCGGACTTACCTCCCGAGGTTCTTTCTCATCTACTTCTCAACTTCTTCTCCAAAGGAAACTATTTGCGGAATCTCAGGTTGGGAAGACTAGTTTCCAAAAGCTACTAGAGCCACCTCCACTTAAACGAGCTGGGAGTGCTCCTTATCGTATTGTTCTTGGAGATGTAAAAGATAAGGTAAAGATCCTAAGGGTTTGGATGAAATTAAAACAATATAATGTCTAATATGAACCATTTTTTGATGAATATTATATATGCACTAATTGATTTTCAAATATAATGATTTGTGACCATAGCTTGTGAAGACAAGAAGACTTCTTGAACTCCTAATTGAGGGTCTTCCTTGTGAATATGACCCTTTAAATTCCTATGAAACATCAGATCAACTTCTTGAACCATTGCTCCTCTGCTATGAATCTCTGGTAACAATCTTAACTCTATGTGAAAATATATGGCTTCTCTATAAAATCATGTGATCTTTAGTATAATATAACATCATTCATTTTTTTTCAGCAATCTTCTGGTGCTAGTGTACTAGCTGATGGACGACTCGCTGACCTGATCCGTAGAGTTGCTACCTTTGGAATGGTTTTGGTGAAACTCGACTTACGTCAGGTAATTTTCTTTTTCCAACTGGGCATGATTTAATGATACATTTTATCACTAATCTTTATTTGTCATTCAATGTACTAGGAAGCTGCAAGACATTCTGAAGCTTTGGATGCAGTTACAACATACTTGGGTATGGGTACTTATAGTGAATGGGATGAAGAGAAAAAATTAGATTTTTTGACTAGAGAACTAAAAGGGAAACGACCTCTTGTTCCTCCATGTATTGAGGTCAGAATGAAATTTCTCTCTTACGTATATTCAAGGAAGAACAATATGAAAGTCATCTCAAGTTTTGTTTCTACCACTTTTTAATTTTTATTTACTTATCTGTTTTTTATTTATCTAGGTTGGTCCTGACGTCAAAGAAGTTTTGGACACATTCCGAGTCGCTGCTGAACTTGGAAGTGAATCACTTGGAGCTTATGTTATATCTATGGCTTCAAACGTATGGTTTCTACAAATTAAAATGTAGCTAGTTATCCATATGGACAATTTTTGAAAATTTTGATCAACAAACACAATCATGACTGATTTGTATTGTTACTTTCAGGCAAGTGATGTCCTCGCTGTGGAGCTGTTGCAAAAAGATGCTCGACTTGCTGTGACTAGCGAACATAAAAAACCATGCCCCGGTGTAACGTGAGTTCAAATCTACACCAAAATATTACACTGTTCTATACTTAGTTATTAGCAGTAACTTTATAAGCAAGTAACAAATTGAGTAGCCTTAAAATCTCTTAGTAACATCTATTTATTTGGATAGGCTGCGAGTGGTACCTCTTTTTGAAACGGTGAATGATTTAAGAGCTGCTGGTCCTTCCATCAGAAAATTGCTCTCAATCGATTGGTACAGAGAACACGTCCAAAAGAACCACAACAGTCACCAAGAGGTACATTACGCGTAAACCACAAACATTTTAACTTTAAAGAGAGCTTCCAAGAACTTATAACGATATTTAAAGTTACTTTGCAGGTGATGGTTGGATACTCTGATTCAGGAAAAGATGCTGGACGTTTTACAGCAGCATGGGAACTCTATAAAGCTCAAGAAAATGTTGTGGCTGCTTGCAATGAATATGGAATCAAGATCACATTGTTCCATGGACGAGGAGGAAGCATTGGTCGTGGTGGTGGTCCGACCTATCTTGCTATACAATCCCAACCGCCGGGCTCTGTAATGGTCAGTTTTCAACTTTTTTGATAGATCATTATATTGGTTTGGTTTGTACTAATGCTATTACTAGATAAATAATGATTGAAATGGTTTGACCAGGGCTCTTTGCGTTCAACTGAGCAAGGTGAGATGGTTCAAGCTAAGTTTGGGATACCACAAACTGCTGTTAGGCAACTAGAGATATACACAACCGCGGTTTTACTCGCTACCTTAAAGCCTCCTCAGCCACCTCGAGAGGAAAAATGGAGAAACCTAATGGAAGAAATCTCCAAAATAAGTTGTCAACACTATAGAAGCACAGTGTATGAAAACCCTGAGTTCCTATCTTATTTTCAAGAGGCAACACCACAAGCGGAACTCGGTTTCCTCAATATAGGAAGCCGACCAACGCGTAGAAAGAGCTCTACTGGCATAGGACATCTCCGAGCTATCCCTTGGGTCTTTGCTTGGACTCAAACAAGGTTTGTTCTTCCAGCTTGGCTTGGTGTAGGGGCTGGCTTAAAAGGAGTCTCTGAGAAGGGTCACGCGAATGATCTTCAAGAAATGTATAAAGAATGGCCATTTTTTCAGTCCACCATTGAGCTTATAGAGATGGTGTTAGCTAAAGCAGACATCCCAATAACCAAACACTACGATGAACAACTTGTTTCTGAGAAGAGGAGAGGACTTGGCACTGAGCTAAGAAAGGAACTTTTAACTACTGAGAAGTACGTTCTTGTGATAAGTGGCCATGAGAAACTTTTGGAGAACAATAAGAGCTTGAAGAAACTCATTGAGAGTAGACTTCCGTATCTCAACGCAATGAACATGTTACAAGTTGAAGTTCTTAAGAGGCTAAGACGTGATGAAGATAACAATAAGCTTAGGGATGCTTTGCTTATCACAATCAATGGTATCGCTGCAGGAATGAGAAACACTGGTTAAAATGCCACAACACTTGTCTTGGTTCCGTGATCTACAAGATATCCACTAGATATCCACAAGATAGTTAGTTTGCTATTAACTACTATGACTCAAAAAGTATCATATACTACATCATAAATCAAATTTATATCAACATTTCATATAACTAATTATACTATATATTAAGAAATAAAACAAGATATAAAAATCCATCACTAAACAATTCTTTTTTCTTTTCCTTTTTTGGTCTACTGTCGTTACAAAGATGTTTTAAGTACAACTTGTATAATTATTGATTAGTAAACTAACTATACTCTTAATTGTTTAAGGAAAATATGGGTTTAAAAACATCTTTTCATGTCTAAAACCCACTACCAACTTGTGGTCGAAGGTTGAGGGATCAAAATATGGGTTTAAAGTAACTTTAGTCTTCTATGATTTCAACTTCTAGTTTCAATTGCTTTTTACTATTAAGTTTCTTTCTCAAAACACTGTATGTATGTAGCCTTTTTACATATCTCAATTTATAAAGACAGTAGTATTAGGCATGAGTGCATACCCGAAGAGCATATTCCTTAGAATATTATTTCATTTTTTTTTTGTGTGTGGTCAAGTGTGCATGATTCATCTTATAATGTACAAAGGCGTATCTTCTTATATAGGTTTTCTTAAGACATTTATAGCCAACTGTCAAAATTAACCATAACAAAGACGTTATAGAAAACATTTTTATAAACAAAAAATAAAAATATTTAAAAATTAATTAGAACTGATTAATTCATTAGGCTTTCTTTTTATTAGAAGTGATAAATTAGCTTTCAAACATCTTTTACATCAATATCTTTTCCCTTAAAAGTTAAAAAATTTAAGCTAGAAAAGATGTATATAGTTAGTTTATTAAAAGCTTTAGTTGAAAATGTTGAACCCAATTTTGTTGGTTACTGGTTCATCATTTTTGCCTTTGGAAAACTTTTTTTTTATTGGTCATTTCAACGAGTTAAATGTTTTAACTAGGATGGAGCTCAAACCCAATGAGTAACAGTTTACAAAATATTATCAAATCTAGTTATTAGTACTAGAATCCAAAAACATATGCATCAGAAAATACAAAAATTAACTCATGAAAAAGACATTCATCGTAGGTGCAGACCACTTTGTAAATTCTAATTATGTAATATATTGTTAATTGCGACAGTTCTATATTACTTAAAGGTAGTATCTCTAATCCACTGCATTTTAGTTTTACGATGGATGTAAAAGCTGTCAAACGTTTCTATGCATTGGACATTTATTTTACGACTATGTTTAATTTGTGATAAAATGGAATACTATAATTGTAGTAAAAGGACTTTTCTTCCACTTTACCAAAGAAAAAAGGACTTTTCTTCCATGAATGATGTTATTGTATGTGATTGGAGGCAAATTATTGTATTTATGTGGATAGTATAATGTTTAATGAGAAACAAACAAAAAGAAACATATATGAATGAAATTAGAAGTACAAAAAGGTTTTACAACAGAATTATCCTAGGCATTATACTAAGAAGATAAGGCATAATCTTCTCATAGTATTCTAAAACCAAATAAATTATACAAGATAAGATGAAAAAAAAAGTATATATTCATATTCCCGATCCCTTATAAAATGTTTTAAGATATTTCTTAAAGAAAATTAATAACTGATTTCTTCTTGTCCTTTAGCAAAATTAGATTCATGACATGTCTTTGTAATCAAGAACATTCGGAGAAACACATATGATCCATTTTTTTAATTCTTTCCACCTAATTAAATTGAAAAACAATAGATTTGTTTCATAAAAATTCATTTGCTAAATCTATAAGACATTTGAAACATGCCCACTTTTTTGATAAAATAACAAAAATAAAATAACATTAATAAATTTAGTATGATTATGAATAGTTGCCGAGTTTTAATAATAATTTAATAAAATTTTAGTATATGCTATGTGGACTTTCTTTTAAATAACATTTGAGATTCTCTCGATAAAATTTAATTGCGCCAAGTGTTGCTTCGATTAAAGACTAAAGTGTAGTAGTTCATAAGGATATACCTCTTTTCTAAGTAATTTGAAACAGACGTACAACTAATTAAGATTCAGATTAAAATATTACACTAATCAACCCCGGATCAAATGAAAATTCTTAGTTCTAAAATCTTCTAAAGAGAATAATATCAAACTTCCCTAAAGTTACATAGATTCACATCTTTCAATTACAATATTTAAACTAACAACATCTTTCTCTAGGTTAGATCACAATAGCCATGCAGCTTCCCATTATATTCCATTTAACTTTGATCACGTTACATAAACTAATACAAATTTTTAAAATTTAAATACTAAACATATATAATAATTGGCAGAGATAAAACATATGAGGACTTTATGAACAATACATATGCATATGACATAATGAATCGTATCTTGAACAATGTCCAAGCACATGGAATTAGTTCAAGTAGAAATACATCACAATCATAAAATACCTCCAAAACAACCTTTTTCTCTGGGAGGATCGTGTGTGTGTGTGTCTCTCTATATATATTCTCTTCTCAACGATTCGAAGATAAATTTGATTCTAAACACATAAGCATGCAAGAATCCGAATCCAGACACATGCGGAGGCAGACTAATTCATTAATCCATCGCTGCCTAAATTGATAGCATATGCTCAACATATACTAAGTAAGTTAGCTAGCCATCGTTGTTTACTCTTTTGAAATGTAAAACAATTCAATCTTGCAGAGTATATTTCCACGTTGGCAAAAGTTAAAATAAAGGACTCTGCGACATACACGTACTTTCATGAAGGTGGCTAGCTAAATAGTATATATACTTTAAGACTTCAATAAATACTGTGTGCAAAGGCCAAATTAAAGGGCATATGCCTTAAGCCTTTTTGGTTGAAAATATAATTTTTTGACGATTTTCTTTTTTTCGACAAAATTTTTCGATGTGTGGATATGAAATTGGCTCAATATATTTTTCTTACAATATCAATTTTCGTCTAAATATTTTGAAATAGAATTTTAAAGGTAAACTTTATAAAGTTAACAAATATATTACTTTGATGGTTAAATCGCATCAACAAAGTAGAGAAACTCTGATCATGTACTAACTGAACTAGCTCGTACATAGTGTGTTAAAAGAAATGAGAATTGAAGATCAAGGAGAATATAATATATAGAGAGACTCAACGTACGGGTATATTCTCTATATAGTCTAGATCGAGTTGGCGGCCCTATATTTTTCTTACGACATCAAAGAGAGTGTACTACTAAAGGTTGGTATCTTATTCTTACAAAATGGATTTTATTAGCTAGGTTTAGCTACAAATTAAATTCTCACACGATTTAGAATTTTCTGATTTAATTTAACTTATTATTATTATTATTTTTCTTTTTAGGATAAACTGTTAACCTACTGTTCTATCTCCTAGATTCATTAATTTGTCACCACTACAACATATACCAATCTCCTTTTCGACAAAACCTAAAATTTGGTCGGATTCTCTTAAGCGAATGAGGGAAAAATGAGACAAAATATCTCCTAGTGATCTATAGGCCAAATCACAAACTCTTACGAATTTTCCCGAACATTGAATGGATCATTGGAGTGTGACGACGAAAAACACATGAGACCCATGGAAAAGTGTCGTTACAAAGTGGTATCATGGGTCGCATATCCAAACAATAGTATGGAGCGGTAAGGCTCAAATGGTCAAGGTAACTACTAACTAAGGACTAAGTACAAAGATGGTCGTGCAAAGAAAAATATTAATACGGTGTAATTTTTAATATTTTGGAGTTGGAATGATATAATCACAATAGGTACGTTTTCCTAGTGTCCAATCTTCATGTAAAATTACACGAATAATTGAAAAAGCCAGAAATTGAGTGGTTGTAATGTGGGACTTGGGAAACTTTGGAGAAGAAACAGTGGACTAACTTTCACACAAATTTGAAGTTGGATATGGTTTATTATCATTTTATTTTTGTTTGGACGAAGAAAGTATAATTTTATATATTCATCTGGAAGACCGATGAAAAAGAATTGAGATTGGTCCGCACATAACAAACATATAAAATAGGAAACAAAATGAAAAAGAGAAGAGTTTATAGTATACTATTCGTCAAATTCTAACAATTTTATTTTAAATAAGAATTGTGTCATATGTAAAGTAAAGAAAAAAGAACAAGAAATTAAAGTATAATATGTGTTGCTAATAAATTATTTGTGTGAAGCTAAACAAAAATGTGGAACCGATGTCTCCGAAGTGGTAGATAGCTATGATAAGCACGTTAGACACAAATAAATGCGGTTCGATTCAGACCATCATCTTCTTCTTGTCTCATTTGGTTTTTTTTTTTTTTAAATAAAAATTATCATATTAAACCATTTCTAGTCTATGAATTGTTGTTCTTTTATTAAAAATTTCTTTTGTGTTCCTTTTTTTCTCATGGAAATATTTGTTTACATATCAATTAAAGTTTCCAATTCTGGTCCCCAACCTGCCATGTTAAGGGAATAGGACTACACATTTTAGGCAACGTTTTAAAAACCAAATTGGAATTTGTTTTATATAACCGGACTATTGTATTAATCCAATATGAGAGCGCCAATCTGACATGTTATAAAATATTCTAATGTTACAATATTTTTTAAAAATTAAAAAAAATCATCAATCTGTTATAAAGTTGTCGAACAAATCAATAAACTAATTTTTTTTTTCGACTTTTTTTGAACTGGGGCAAAACAATACTTAACAAAATGGCATCTTTACTTTAGTAAATCATACTATATATTTTGTCAATTTAAACTAAAATGTTACCTTTAAAAAAAATTTAAAAAAAAATAGAAAAGAAAAAGAAGAAGAAGTTAATAAGTTCCATGAAATATGGACTTTCCGTAATTGGAAGGTCGCCATATGTTGGCTTCGTTTGTATTTTCCTTTTATTGACCCCTTTGTCTCTCTTATCAACTAAAGAACCAATTGGGCAAAG